GACAGAACTTTCTCTGCAAGGCTGTCTGCCCTCCTCCAGTGAGCTCTCCCCACTAAAAGCTCCTTAGTTACTGGTTGTGGAATTTCACAGGGCAATCTCTGGGTACAGGAAGCTTGGGGCTGTGCACGCATAGCATGATGCTCAAGGTTAATATTCTATAAGCAACATGACAAATTAACCCAGAATTACACAGCACGTTGACAGATGATAATGGCAAATGCTGTGGAGGATAATATTACGGCATTAAAAGTCCACACAAAGATGCCACAGTAAGGCGCAACTTCAGATCTATGCAACTTGCAGGTAAAAACATAACCGGTCGTTACTTCATTCAAAATGTATTTACCAAGTGAGGGGAACGGATCTTGTCTCCCAAGTTTAAGGTCTGGTTAGCAAAAACCAAAAAGGCCACTGGACTTCCAACAAAATAATCTCCGAAAACAAATAGGTCTTTTGATACATAAAGTGTTTCATGTCTTAAAATGTATCTATCAACAGGACACTCTTAATATTTCTTTCACACTTCTATGTGTGAATTTGAGGACTTAGAGTTTTTCTTACTTAGCACGAGAACATATGCTTGAGAGAACACCTCTGCATGTTGTGACTTTTTGAATATATGTGAATAAACGGTTTTATGGTGGGGAGTGACTGCGTAAATTCAATGCTGTTCAAATGAGGGGAGCCCAATCAAAGTCTACCTCCAAGGTCCCAAAGTCCTAGGAACCCAAATTACATCATCCACAAAACAGCTAAGTGAAAAATCCTCTCTTTGGGAAGTAACTCTTTCAAAATTACATGAAAAAAATAAGAATAATGATTCAAGTCTTATACTTAAAAAAAAAAAAAAATCCCAATAAGATAACACAAAAACCAGGGCACCTGGGTGGCTCAGTGGGTTAAGCCTCTGCCTTCAGCTCAGGTCATGATCCCAGGGTCCTGGGATCGAGCCCCACATCGGGCTCTGCTCAGCGGGGAGCCTGCTTCCCCCTCTCTTTATTCCTGCCTCTCTGCCTACTTGTGATCTCTCTCTCTGTGTCAAATAAATAAATAAAATTAAAAAAAAAAAAGATAACACAAAAACCAGCTCAGTGACCATTAATGAAAGCAGTTACACTTAGGAGGTATTTATTAAAAATCACAAGAACAGGGAGGCCTGGGTGGCTCAGTTGGTTAAGCGGCTGCCTTCGGCTCAGGTCATGATCCCAGCATCCTGGGATCAAGTCCCACATCGGGCTCCTTGCTCGGCAGGGAGCCTGCTTCTCCCTCTGCCTCTGCCTGCCATTCTGTCTGCCTGTGCTCGCTCGCTCTCTACCTCTCTGTCTGACAAATAAATAAATAAAATCTTAAAAAAAAAAAAAAACTTTAAAAATCACAAGAACGTAAATCTTTCTGAACCCAGAAATGCACCTTTGTGATGGCAGCTTCCTTCTCCATCCCTGCAGCTCCCATTAGGTAGTTCAAGAAAGCATCTTCTCCGTTCATATGAAAACATCAACTTAGTTAATTTTTCAACTGGATTAATCAATTGGAATAGAATAATTTAAGTCACGTGATTGTCTGCTCAGGACCAGCTGTTTTAAATTAGTATATTAAGTAATTTAGACACTTTCCTTTGCAAAGGTTGCGTGATTTAATAAATTCCCATATGCCTCAACGTGTGCCAGAACCACTGGGTTATCTTCCATCCAGCTGCTGTTACGGTAAAGGCTGCCAACTTTCAACCAACTGAAGAGAATAATGAATCAACTTCAACTTGGCTCGTAAGTCAACTTCTGTTGCTCCCAGCTAAAACATGGGCCAGTTTCAACTGTAAAGAAAATTAATTAAAAAGATTTCACCTCCAGCATCTCAGAGACATGGCGTCATGGCCACGGCTGAATTCGGAGTTTAAAAGCCTGCAGCCCACAGTTCGGATGGCCGTGTTACATGTGATAGGTTGTTTTCAAAATTGGATTTTTTTGATGAAACAGATTAGGAAATGCCCTCTCCCTAATGCATAACATGAATATGTAAGTCTCCTATTGATGGAAAGGAAAAGAAAATCAAGATTCTTAGTTGTTAAAGGATCATTAAGAAAAAAGAAATAGGCTTCAAAAACTTCAGAGGAAACAAGACACTAGTTCAGGAGCCTAAAAAGCAGATATAAGAGGAGAGCGCCACACAAACCACTTTAAGTCAGAGTCATTTTAACGAACACATGAAAGCAAAATGACATTATGAGGCCCTCTTTCCAAAAAAAGACAGTATTTTACTCAATTTTGATAAAACGCTGGCCAAAACAATTTTGTGCTGGATCAGTTATCCAGATTAGCGGTTCTACCATAAAAATCCATGAAACTCTGGTGTTTCCTATAAGCCCTAATCCATTTGGCATAAAGCTATGCTGGTTTTTTACAGGAAAAGTAAGCAAACCATGAGGGCAGAAACCTGCTAAAAAGACTTCATTTATTTCTAAGTTGGATGCAGTTGAAAATTGCTCCCTGGGTGGGTGGACTTCCCCGGAAGGACGGGAACACTTTTTCACAAGAGCAACGGTGGGGTGTATTGTCTGCACATGGGTGAGCACGCGGATCTATGCGTCACAAGCAACAGGACAGACTGGACGAAAGACACAATTTCATGGTTCTGATAAACTGTTTAAAACCATGTAAGGATCACCTTATTAGTAGTCATAATTTGATTTCTTCTTGTTTTCCAAAGAGTCCCTGTAAGTTTTATCAGGATTATCATATTATCTGCCTTCTACATTTTTCTAATATATCCTGTAAATTGTAATTTAAGTATGGAATTATATACCAAGGTTGCCTGAGTCCTCACTGTGCACCTCCAAGATAGAGTTTTAATAAACCACTTCTCAAAGATGCTATCAAGACTCACACTATCCCAGGCTGGTGATAATGCACTTGAAACCGGTATTATGGACAGATGGGCTGTGGGATGGGGTGTCTTCTCCAGACATCTCCAATATCCTCTCCAGGGATCTCTGGTATTTCCAGTGCTAGGAATACTGGCGATCCTAGCGTGGAGCACCTGGTTCTGGATCTTCCAGACAGCAGAGTAGTTCTAGAAAAGCTACGCAGATGTCTCAGGGTAACTCGGAATCCAAAGAAAGGACAATGAGTTTCAGCCATGAACAAGGGCAAGAGACTACTCTAACACTTTGATGTGATCATCTTTTGACCTCTCTACAGCTCATGGATGCTGTTGAAACTGTTCAAGATGCAACAGATTTAAAAGGTCCATCTTTGGAACAACATAAAAGGCTAGAACTTATTGTGAAATTGTTGTCCATTTAGAAGGCTGCAGTAATTCCCCAAACAACTGAGTCAGCACTCACCCAAGTAGAGGAGAAAGAGAGGTGTTGATTCCTTAACCTCACTGAATCACATTAATGCAACAAAGCACTTGGAAAGTGTTCTAGTCTATTCTGCACAACAGGATGCATGTCTACACTTGGCAAAATCTTGTGCAACAGGTATGAATTGTGCACATTATTTGCTATCGCCCTAGCAAGAGGCAAGAAATTTCACAGGTGCAACAGTATGTTTGCGATTTTGAAAATATTCCATTCTCCAGTGCCAACGTGCCCAAAAGGACTCTCTCACATGAGACAAGTTCACCTACCATAAGCTAGAATAAATGCAAAGGAGGGATACCGGGCAACTTAACAGACATCGGACATAAAAATTCTTATTCTTTAGCCCTGACCTCAGTTCTCTTTAAAAGTAGAAAGTATTACAGATGGTAGAGATCTGTCATTATTCTGTTTTCTGCTTTGAAGGCTGTATATACTTAATGATTATAATTATGAAATCCTAGATTAAATATGCCTTCTATTCACTGATTTGAATATTCGAACAATTAGCTGTGTTTGTTTGAATGCACACAAGTGTCTTTATTTCTAGTGGTTAGGATAATCAAGAAATGCCTAGAGGTGAAAAAAAAATTAGAACGACGTACAGGAAAGATGAGGAAGCAAGGAGAAAGTAAATAGAAGAAGAAAAAGATTTTAAAAGATTTCTATGTAGTCAGGGTAAGTCACTAATTGAAGGTGGAAAAAATAATTGCTTACAATTTGTATAAAGCAATCATATCCATGTAGAACTTCGACATGGTACAAAGGTACATAATTATAAACAAGAAGATGGAAATAAAAAGTTGTATCTTAATTATGAAAAACAACAGAGGAAAAAAATTGTGGAAAAAAATTATGGAAAGTAGGAAGATCCATGCCACAAATATGCCAAGATAAATGTTCTCCCCTGAGGGGAGAACAGTGCCCTAGACTTGAGAAGGTTTTGTATGACCTTGGCCAGCCCTACTATTTCCTGCCTTGTATAATCACAGAAGGCAGTCAGTGTTTGGTGATGATGAGAAGTAGGATTTTAAAGAATATAATTATGGGCTGCAAGTGTTTTCTGTGGAAACAAAATGATCATTCATGTTTAAGATTGTGTAAATATGCCTTAATTTTGGTCAACAGCAATTTCAACCTTAAAAAACAGAATCCTTAAACCTTCTTATAAGTCACAATTCTCCAAGTAATCTTCAGGGATAAACATGTAAAAGCAGAGACTTTCCAGATACTCGTCAAAAAATGCTACTTGGTAGAAAACAGTCTATTCTGTAGTGACATGATTTGGCCTATCTCCACATCAGAACCAGCTCAGCACCTCGAAGTCCACATTAAGGGAGATTTAAGCAAAGCCAAAGCAGTTTTCATCTACTAGGTCAGGTATAAAAATGATCACAATGCACATTAGCTTAGAGAGACCGGCAATCTTACCCAGATTCATGGTGTGTCGTGCACAGATGGGAGGTGGATATAAGAAGAAACCACATGAAGGCTCCCTAAGGAAACATAAAGCCTGGGGAAGCTTCGAAACTCTCGCCTTCTCGCTGGTACCTTTAACTCTGGCTACAATTAGTGCATTTTTGCCACATGCTTTTGAAAGAAGAAAAGGAATGGTTATTTTCTTAAGTACTAACAGACTTACTTCTCTTTCAGGAAATCCACGACTCTTTTGAAGTCAGCCACGCAGTATTCTCTCTTCATTTCCATGAGTACAGTGTCAGAGGCAGACTGGACCGGGATGTGCAGGAAAGCATAGACTCGGGGATGATTAAGGATTTTTGCCATTTCCTTTAAAAAAAAAAAATGGAAGGAGAAAACATTAACCATTTTAAGGAATTAGGTAATGGTTTCCTTCAGATCAACACTCACAGGGGCAAGCAAATAAACAAAGCTGAAAACGGACGCAGCCACTCTTCAAGCAAATGATAATGGGTACGACTCCATGATGACTCCATGATGACTTTCAGAGGATTCCACACAAGGCTTACTTCCTCACGCTCATTGTCTCTCTTAGGTAACAAAACGAAGGTAAAGTCATGGAATCCCTGAAGAGCAAGGTTTTTGAGGGCTTCAAAATAACCACCACTCCTCCCTTGCCTCAAAGAAGTTTCATATTCTGCCTCACTACATTAGCCGGGGAAGGGGCAGTAGTTAAACAGTTAAGACTCTGTTATCCTGGGTACTTGAATAAAATCTCCAAACCTGAGGCCAGTCAACAATTTCTTTTTTTTTTAAATACTGAAGAAGAAGAAGGAACGTATAACCTGTTTCTTTCTCAGCTAGCCAACAACCACATATTTGTTGAGCATCTACAATGCAAAGGAGAGTGCATTACTCAATGAAGCTAGCCTGTTGGCCTTGGGTCACCTGTGGACATCCATGTAGAGTTGGGGAGAAGGGAAGAACAGGAAGAAGAATGTAGCTGGCAAAGTCAGAGCAAACTGGAGTGAAACAAATCAGGAAACCCAGAGGGTATTTTCTGGAATTCCTCAGGAGATACAAACGCAGGCAGGAAGAAGAACAGAAGGAGAGCTGTGGTAACGTGAGCATTTACAAAAGCAGTACGAAACCAGACTGACTGGGCCCTTCTCCTCTGCCGCACTGCGGACTCACCCATTGGAGGGCTGGGGAAGGGAGAGTAGAGGAGGGCAAGAGAAGAGGGGCACAGGGGAGTGATGGGGAGAGGACGCCTACAAAGAGACCAAGAGGTAAGTATGTTGAGGAAGGAGCTCCTCTGTGATAACTCGCCTGTAACTAGTGATTTTTAGTTTTTAAAGGACCGCGTTTTCCAATCTGTTACTTCATTTTCATTCTTGGAACAGTATTTTGAGGATCTTAGGTGGAGTGAGAGAACCAGCTAATTCCACAGAGTCACCTCCTAGTTATTCAGGGGCCAGTCAGGCACACGTGTCAACCATGCCCTGTGTGTCTCTACCGAATGCCAACATGAGGGCTTTTGCCAACGTGGAAGAAAGAACAATTAACTCAGATCTGTCACCTTCTTAATAATGCCTTAGTTGTTGTTGTTGTTATCTTAAGATTTTACTTTTTATTCATTTATTGGACAGACAGAGATCAGAAGTAGGCAGAGAAGCAGGCAGAGAGAGAGGGGGAAGCAGGCTCCCTGCTGAGCAGAAAGCCCGATGTGGGGCTCGATCCCAGGACCCTGGGATCATGACCTGAGCCAAAGGCAGAGACTTTAACCCACTGAGCCACCCGGGCGCCCAGTGCCTTAGTTGTTTTAAAAAATCCCTTTGGATGATGAAATTTAATAGTCTAATAATTTTACTCATAGATATGTTTTATCGATAATTTCTTTACCAGAAATTAATCGGTATATATGTAGCATTTTATACATACATATACATATATATGGACAGATAGATACATATGGAGAGATACACATTAGAACTGGAGTCGTGTAGTTTCTTATTTAACAAAAAAATAACTGGTTAACGCATTATCTGTTCATAAAACTGTTACATTTCCTGGCTGGGTATCTCGCCGGGAGGCTCCTTCCTACCCTAACTCGGCACCTAACTGTGTATGAGGCTGCGAGGCAATGCTTACCGTTATGTACCCCACAGTAAATGTGCTGGCTTTCTGCCATGCGTCTGCACCTTTCAGGTCTCTCAGGCCTGAACATCAAGATTCATAAACAGTGTAAGACAAATCCTTGTTTTTTTAAGGGGCAGGACTCTGCATTTGCTAACTTTCAACATACCTACTGTGATAAATGATGACACCTTAACAAAAACAAAAAATGATTTGGGAAATCAAATTTCACTCTCCTTCTCCGTGCCTTGGTTTCCTTATCTGTGAAACAGAGACAGTGGTAGTACCTACTTCCTAGGGCTACTGGGTTATAGGGAAAATAAAATAAAATAAAATAATTCAGTATGGGGGCACCTGGGTGGCTCAGTGGGTTAAGCCTCTGCCTTCAGCTCAGGTCATGATCTCAGGGTCTTGGGATCGAGCCCTGCATTGGGCTCTCTGCTAAGCAGGGAGCCTGCTTCCTCCTCTCTCTCTCTGCCTGCTTCTCTGCCTACTTGTGATCTGTCTGTCAAATAAATAAATAAAATCTTTAAAAAAAATAATAATTCAGTATGTGCTTATCTGTAAGTACTCAATAGATAAGTTATCTAATATTCTTCTTCCTTGCAAAGTATCTGAAGTTCATAGTCACACACGTTCATACAGATTATTGGGAACCTTAAAAGAACAGCTTTTCAATATGCTAGTTCCCTTAGCTAGTAAGTGAAGGAGAGTTAACCTTTGCTAATTTTCATACAATAGACTGGAAAGGGGATCCCAGCAACCGTGAGCCTGGGCCAGACAGGGGAGTGCAGCTTCTCTCAGAAACCCTCAGGGCGGCCACCACTGCCAACTACTACTACTACTACTACTACTACTACTACCACCACTACTATTACACCACACAGGATACTGCCCCGGATAAAGTACTTCCCTGTTACAGTATGACAATTTACAAATTAAAACTTAATAGCCAACAAATAGGAGAAATTCAGTGGGTTTCCCCTTTGGCTCCCAAAATAAGGCTTCCCACTAGTCATTACCTTCAGCTTCGTACTAGAGACTTTGCAATTTTAGAATGGTAGGCACCAGAAGACAAAATAAAAATAACCCTGCCCCTTAATTAATGTCTATATTTCTCCTCCTAAAGGATTTAGGACTTAACATAGATTAACATATCCCAAAGAGACAAAGTACATATTTTTGGTTCTGTTTTTAGTTCTATTCCTTTTCATGAGAAATCAACGGGTTGGTTAAAGACCTTTTGGTTTCTTTCCCCTTCGAAATTCTTTTCGTTTTAAGGGTTAGCTTCCAGTTACAAGTTCTCTGGTGTCAGAGATTACTCCCTCTATGATTCCTCAGCAGCTGTGCCTGGTGTGATCCGAATGAATTCTTGGTTCTGCCTTGCAACATGAGATTCAATCCCTACGAGGGAAGCTTAACAGGAGCAGGGGATTTGGTTCACTCCTCTCGCCGGATCCCCACAATGGCTAGTACCGTGCTAAGTATATCACCAAACCATACATATATCTGGGTCAAAACCACATAAACATCCATACAAAGAGATTTAAAATATAAGTGCTATTTGATAGGTAGACAAATTTTCAGTTAGTCACAGTTCAGTCTGGCGAAAGCAGGTAACACATATTCACACAGGTAAACAAACATATGATTGGCCTGCCTTAATTTTTGGTGGTGAAAAATCACACGTTAATAGATAGCTAAGTACAAAGTAAAAATCAGACATTTCATAGGTAGCCACCTCCCCCATGGGTTATGTTTCTAAAAGTCTGTTGTAGCTGTATATTGGAATCACAATGTATTTTCTTATGCAAGTAATTTACAAATGACATGTGGGGTCAGTTTAACCAAAGGAAAAAGGAGCATTTATTTCCAAAATGTGGCTAACAGGAGAATGGCAGCCATGAGTAACCCTGAGCTCTGAGCTGGTGGAGAGAGTCTGAGTAGTCAGGCAAGTCTGCTGGTTGGCAATGTGCCCGCAAGGGGTGTGCGTGTGTGTGCGCATGCGTGCGTGGGTGCGTGTGTGTGTGTGTGTGTGTGTGTGTGTAGCTCTGCTAGCAACTAGCATAGAAACAGTATCTCTTTTAATATAAGGTTATTTATAGTTTAAGGGCAAATGTATCAAGGCTGCTCAGTATCTAGACAGTGACTGCATTATAGGCAGAGACTACAGGATGGCTAACCAAATCCACGAATCAGTATTTCCATCCAGTGCTTTTACATGGAGTTCTCCTTTCATGAACGGGTAACCATCTCAATGTTAAATAACATCTCAATGTTATTTTTTTATGAACTTAAAAAGAAAAGAATAAATAACGAGTTGAAGAGAACAGGCTTAATTTTAAAAAAGCAATTCTATGTATGGGTACATTTTCATTTTTAATTTTATTTTTGAAAGAGAGAGAATGCCTGTATGTGTGTTTTTGGGGTGGTGGTGCGGGGAAGGTAGAGAGAGGGAGAGAGAGAATCAGGAAGGCTCCATGCCCAGTGGAGAGCCTGATGCAGGGCTTAATCCCACAACCGCGAGTCAGACGCACCAATGACTGAGCCACCCAGGTGTCCCTGTATGGGTACATTTTTAAAAGAAATGTTCAGTTTCATTTTTGTTGCTCTGCAGTCATCAAATCAATCATTATATCATTATATATATCAATCATTATATCCTGGATTTGAATAGGTACTCTAACAGCTTCACAAGGTCATTCAGTGTGTGAGTGTGTACAATGTATTCATACTTACATTCAGATGCCCGTGCTCTCATTTTGATAGTTAACCATCCAAAAGCCCTCTCAGAATACAGCTTTGTTAGAAAGTATATGCATATTTAAAATGCTAACCTTCACCGTGCTATGTTTTCAACTAAACTAAGACATATGATGAAGCAAAAAAAATTACACCGTTATCTTTAAGCTTTGTAAAAAATAGCTTATTTGAGATAAAATTCAAATGCCACACAATTGACCTATAAAAAAAATGTATGCAATTAAGTGCTTTTTAGTATGGTCATAGGATGGTGCACATCACCGTAGTCTAATTTTAGAATGTTTTCATTCCTCGGAAAACAAATCCTGTACCCACTAGCAGGCTCTTCCCATTTTTCCCATTCCATAATCCCTTTCCCTGAGCGTAAAACAGCCAGCAATCTACTTTCTAACTCTGTAAATTGCCTATTCCACACATTTCATATAAACAGAATCATTAGTCTTTTGTAACCGGCTTCTCTCACTTATAAT